ATGCATCAGCAAAACTGTTCACATTTTGCATGACTTCATCATATATGGATTCGTTAAACATGATATGATAGTAAAAAATTAACATATTCTATTCATTCTTTACCTTTTTGATGATAAACACACTTTTTTTCCCTTTAATAACACTAAGTATATTCCACCACCACATGTGAAGATGTTCAAGGGACTAAACACGGTGTGTTGAAATTGAAGATAAAAATCTTTCAAACAATGTATTACTCGAAATATCAGGAAATCGGTGAACATATCTTAAGTTTTGAGCATGTATTTTTACATATATTCCTTCTGTACTTTATTACATGAGCTCAAGTGAGTGTAAGGATGGTTCATTTTATACAATTCAAAGTACTCGTATGTCATTGTTGATCACGTTTACTGATTTTATTTTAATTTTTTTCACATAGAACTATCAACCGTTATTTAGTCTAAAGTTCAATGATCAATCAGAATGTGTTATACAGTTATTGGCTTGTTTGACAATATTTATACAAGGTTGTACTGAATCATATAAAGAGAGCGCTGGCAATGAATGCTGTGAGCTTCATATCATTATAGCACTTGAGATTGACGATTTATGATTTGGTTTATTGTAGTAGTGCTTTGATTGTTTCAGAGCATTCATTAACATTATATTTATGAATGCAGTTTGTTAAAATATCATTCGATAAATAGTTTTATGATCACAAATACAGTTATATTTATTAAAGTGATTGAACTTGATTGATAATTCTACTATCCGCATTATTCAGCAATGTCAAAATACCTTCCTCTTCGTATGTATATAAGTCAAAATACTTTCCACAGTGAAAGTACAAGTGTTTATAATAGAATAATATTTTTATATTTTTGGGTAACACATTTTATTACATACTGCGTTTCTATGCATCTAACAATTTTGCCGAATCAGGTTAACGTGGAATTATCGAATTTATCAAACCGAATCATTTCGATTTTGATATTCATGGCTTCAGATTTATTGTTAGCAGCAAATAACAAAGACGCCATTTTCTTACCAACCTCGTGCATGTAAGTAGTTATTATTAGCTAACAATTTACTGTCCACGTGACAGACTCGATTATGAATTTAGGATCAATTCTGTTCGTTTGTCTGGTCTCACAATATTATAAGTCGCAAAAGCTGGTAATTTTGAAAATGTTTTTTTCATATATTCATTATAATACATATTGATAATGAAATCATGTTGCAGTATCCTACCAGTAAATGCTTCTATCTAAATTGATCATGATTCCATGATGAACATATTATGATATGTTCAATGGTTTATCGATGACTGTTCTCATTTTTTACCATGTTTGTAAATTTCCTCAACATGAATTGGAAAGCTTTGAATGTTTGGATTACAGGCAGTTTTCACCTTTATATGTAATGGGAATTTCGATGCTTCGTAATAAACTCAATAAATACTTGAGTTAAATTTTGTTGTACACTTCATTTACACGTTACAGATTCATAGCACTAATATTTACAGTCATCGTTATTTTCAGCAACAATTATCACTCTGCGTCTACGAGGAATAACATCATCATTATTTTAACGGTTAGTATAACATTATTTCTTTCAACTTATATATTGTTGCTACCTGTTTATGGATGTCGTCATCTTCAGTGATGATGATTCGCATTCATTTTATTGTATGAGCACGATTCCGCAGGAAAACTACTGACAATTATATAACACAGAAATTGATGCTTCAGGTTAATTCCTAATCGAATTGGATTATAACATGCCGTTTTATTGATACGCGTGTTTGAAAATAGAATTCAATTTATTCTATTTGAAATTCAGCGGTAACCGAGAAATCGTTGACAGTAAATGAAGATTACGGTAGAGAATTAGAAACTAGGCGTTAATCATGTGACAACGTTTGAACAGTTGAGCGAAACCTCGTTACAATAAACGCCAGTTTCATATTTCTGATAATTTCGATGTACATCAGCACTGAAATCAATCAGTTTCAATAATGTTTATTTACGAATTCATTTGCTGGCTTGTCTTTTGGTTAAGCAATGCGTAATTCATCGTTGGATTCCTAGGAATAAGTTGTTTCAGACTGATGAAACTGTTTCCGTAAGCTTTCGAAATTCCATCTGTCATGTTCATAGCATTATCAAGATTATCCTATAACCATATGTTCAATGGATTCGGACATTATTACAGTATTCACAAAAACACTTGAAATATACTAAAATAATTAGATTGTTTACTGTCTGCAAAGTGGTTCACAACAATACATGACTAAATGTCAATCAGTTATTTTTAGGATTGAAATTTTGCACATTCAATGTTCGTTTTTCAGTTGATCATTATTAGTATCGGTGTTGCATTATTGAGTCTAGCGGGTGATTGGTTGGATTGCATTATTGCTACTGGTGTTGCGTATTTCCGTACGCAATGTTCAGTTGTTTCAGCTCATAGAAACCAGACAATGATAAAAACTAATGGTTCGAATAAGCTGTTACTATGCAAATGACTCGATTTAATATATTAATCGAAAGTCTTAACCAAATTAGATGTTAGCGAATCAGTATATATGTGGAGGCACTACAATACTACAAACTGGAACTGGCTAACATGAAATTTGTGACTTTTTACGAATAGATTACAAGAATGATTATTTCACAA